AATAAAAATTAAAAAAAAACAGAAGAGTAGTTCAGGGTTTCCATTTGACAAAATCCAATATCCCTTAATGTTAAATGTCTTGGAAAGATTAGAAATTCAAGGCCCATACCTAAAAACAGTAAAAGTAATATAAGGCAAACCAGTAACCAACATCAAATGGAAAGAAACCTTAAATGGAAACATTAAACATTAAATGGAAAGAACGTTAAATGGAAAGAAACTTGAAGGGATCACACTAAAATCAGGGACTAGATAAAGTTGCACACTCTCTCCCTACTCAGGCCAAATTTTCTTATGAACATTGATCAAAAAATAGTAAAATGGTACTGGACTACATGGAGATCTATATGTTGAAGAATGAAAATCGATACATGTTCATCACCCTGGATGAAACTGACGTTCAGGGGGATGAAAGATCTTACCATAAAATGGGATACATTATATTACTGTAAAAGAAATTATGAAATATCCTTAAACTCTTAGTACAGGAGAGAATTTCCAGAACAGAATACCAATATAGTACTCGTGGTTCTATTCAGAGCAATTAGATGACAAAAGGAGATCAAAGAAATACAAATTAGCAAGGAAGAAGTCAAAATATCACTATTCCAGATGATACGCTAGTATATTTGCATGACTCCAAAAAGTCCACCAAAGAACTCCTTCAGCTGATAAACAAGTTCAGCAAATTGGCTTGGTATAAAACTAATTCAAACAAGTCAGATGCCTTCCTCTACTTAAAGGATAAATGGGCTGATAAAGAAATTAAGAAAATGACACCAGGAATTGTCAGTGTTAATATAATAAAAATGGCCAACTTACCAAAAATTATCTAGAAATTAAATGCAATTCCCATCAAAGTTCCAATTCAATTTTTCAGAGATTGAAAGAGAAATTCTCAAATTCATTTGAAACAACAAAACCCCCAGGATATCGAAAACTATTTTCAACAATAAGAGAACTTCGGAGGGAATCACCCTACCTGACCTCAAGCTCTACTACAGATCAATAATGATAAATACTGCATGATATTGGTACAAATACAGAGTGGTAGATCAATCAAAAAGAGTTGAAGACCAGAAATGGACCCACATAAGTATGATGACTTGAAATTTGGTAAAGAAGCTAAAACCATCCAGTGGAAAATAAACAGTATATTCAACAATTGGTGCTGGCTTAAGTGGTGGTCCGCATGTAGACAAATGCAAATTAACCAATTCTTATCTATTTGTACAAAGCTTTCAAGAAAGAGTGGGAAAGTCTCGGACACAACTGATCAGGGGAAATTTTCTTAAACAGAACACTAATGGCCCAGACTCTAAAATCAACTGTAGGCAAATGGTATCTCATAAAATTGAAAATATTCTGTAAGGCAAAGGACACTCTCATAATCAGTACAAAATGGCAACCTACAGATTATGAAAAGACCTTTACCAATCCTACATCGAATAGAAGGCTCATATCCAAAACATACAAAGAACTCAAGAAGTTCTTCTCCAAGGAACCAAATAACCCTATTTAAAAATGGGAAACAGAGCTAAACACAAAATTCCCAACTGAGGAATCTCGAATCATCCAAAAGCACCTAAAAACTATTTAACATCCTTAGTCACCATAGAAGTGCAAATCAAAATGAACCTGAGATTCCAATGCACACCAGTCAGAGTGGCAAAGATCAAAAACTCAGGTGACAGTAGATGGTGGTTAGGATGTGGAGAAAGAGGAACATTCCTCCATTGCAGGTGTAATTGCAAACTGGTACAACCACTCTAGAAATCAGTCTACTAGTTCTTCAGAAAACTGGATACAGTACTATCTGAGGACCTAGCTATAGAATTCTTGGTCTTATACTCAAAGGATTTTTCAACATTTAATAAGATACATGTTCTACTACATTGATAGCAGACTTATTTATAATACCCATAAGCTGGAAACAACCTAGTTGCCCCTCAACAGAGGAATGGATACAGAAAATGTTATACACTTACACAACAGAGTACTACTATTAAAACAGTGACTTTATGGAATTCACAGTCAAATGGATGGAATTAGAAAATATAATCCTGAGGAAGGTACCCCAGTCACAAAAGAATACACATGATGTATACTCACTGATAAGTAGATATTAGGAAATAATCTTGGAATACCCCTAATACACCTCACAGATCATGTGACACTCAAGAAGAAGGAGTACCAAGGCGAGAATATTTCAGTATTACTTAGAAGGGGGAAGAAAATTCTCAATGGGGGTAGAAGGTCAAAGGGACATGAGAGAAAGGGAGGGACAGGAAAGAGATGGATCAGTATCTTGGGTGGGAGGAGATAGGGGAGATGTACAGAGGGTTAGGAAATTGAACATAGATGTGTGGCAATGGGGATGGAGAACTTGGGTTAGCCACCAGGAAGTCACAGATGCCAGGAAAGCAAGAGGCTCCCAGGACACAATGGGGATGGCATTAGCCTAAATATCCCCTAAAGGTGAGAAAGAACCTGTAGAGACCATATCCATAACTTAGGCATGGTCCCAGGTTGAGGGATGGGGCCACCCAACAATCTCAAAATGTTAACCCAATATTGTTCCTCTCTAAAGTAAACAGCTCATGGAGCCCATTGGAGTAGTGTTTCCATCAGCAGGGAGCTCCAAGAGCATCCAATAAAAGCTGTGCCATTATGTGAACTTGTCACGTCTTCCTCAAGCTAGAAGCATGGAGTCCTGTACACAGTGCAGAGCCTTCTCAGAAGCACATGATATTTTTGTATTTCCTTTATGTGAATTTTTAAGCTGCGAATCTGATGGCCTTAATTTCCCTTTTGACACTGAAAGTTTTGTAAAAGAAATCCTATCCATACATGTTGCAAGATGTGAATTATTGACACTGAGCTAACTGTACTGTTTGGAAAGGTGCCCTCAAGTTTTTGGCATTTTTCTTTCCTTTTTGTATGTGTATATATTTTTTTTTAAGTTCTTTTAAGAGGGGACAGGGAGGGTAAGAAAACCACTGCGTGTCCAGGCATAATTGATGATTGCTTTCCCTAGATGGGTGGTCTGCTCTTGATCTTTCTCTGCTCTCTATAAATATATATGCTGTGTGGGAGGGGGAAAGCAGTTTTTCAATATATGAACTTTTGTATGGAATTTTTTTGTAGTAAGTGATCAAGGTTACATTTTTTTAAAAATAGAAAATAGAAGAAAAATTTTGTAAGAAGGCAATATTAATCTAGTCATCATGTAAGCACTCTGGATGGAGGTTCTGCAGAGCTATTGCATGGTCAACTACACTTCTCTTAGATTCCTGATTCATGAGGGGAATGGGCAGGTGAGGTTAGGGTGGGGGAAGGCTTTCTCTTCAAATGCGATAGTTGAGTTTTTAAGATAGTCTAACATGCTTAAATTTCTTATGCTACATTAACAAATAAAAAAACTGTTTTACTATTAAAAAAATAAAGTAAACACAGCAACAAAAGTTTGAGCAGAGACTGAAAGAAATGCCAGACCCAGACACTATTGCTGATGCCAAGAAGTGCTTGCTGACAGGAGCCTAGTATAACTGTCCCCTGAGATGCTTTTCCAGAACCTGATCAATACATGTGAGGATGCTTACAGATAACCTTCAGACTGAGCCCTGGGACCCCAATGGAGGAGTTAGAGAAAGGACTGAAAGAGTAGTAAAGGTTTGAAACCCCATAGGAAGAATAATATCAAACAACAAACCCCCCAGAGCTCCCAAGGACTAAACCACCAACCAAAGAGTACACATAGAGGGAGTGACCCACAGCTCTAACTACATATGTAGCAGAAGCAGGACTTTCTGGCCTCGATTGGAGGGGAATCCCTTGGTCCTGTGAGGACTCAATTCTCCACCGTAGGGAAATGCTAGGTCAGTGAAGCAGGAAGGGGAGTGAGGGAGCATACTCATGGAAGTAGGGAGGACATGGAATAGGTTTTCCCAGAATAAACTGGGAATTGAGATATCATTTGAAATGTAAATAAATAAAATAAACAAGGAAAAGTTTTTAAAAGTTCGGAGTTTCTTCCTGGGCATTCTTGCTAGTGTCAGATAATTAAGTTTTGTTCTGTCAGTAGTATTGATGTCTAAAACCATCCATTCCTATCACTGGGACTCTGATTGCTATTTGCATGATGCCACATCACTAATCCTTTCAGTAGCTGCTGACTTCCAGAGAGAGAATGAGAAAGAGAGAGAGAGAGAGAGAGAGAGAGAGAGAGAGAGAGAGAGAGAGAGAGAGAGAGAGAACATGTGTTGAGCAGGCTCCCTGCATGTTTATATTTTAATGGATTTTTCTAAGGGTATTATGTATTTCCTCTATAATGTATGCTATCACCTTCATAAGGTTGGATTTAAGGTAATCATATTGAACTTCAGCTTTGTTGGAATATGCAGAGCTTGCTATAGTTAGATGTCTTGGATCCAGTGTTACCATATTTCCCTGGTTGTTGTTAGTGTTGTTCTTATGCTGGCCTCTAACCATTTGTCTAATGGATTATTAGAAGTTTAGGTGCCAGTTTCTCAGTTTGTCTGTGAATAATAAGTTTTCTCTTTTGGTTTCTGTTTTTGCTCTAGTGTTCTTTTTAAGTGACCAGTTTTCTAGTGGTCAGAGAGTCTTCAGGTACAATAAGGAGCCTCCACTAGGGTTTTATGGTCTGAGTGATTTGTGGGACTCTCAAGTTGCCTCTGTGTTTCTGAAATTTGGAAAAATGCCATGGCCATTAGAGTTTTGGATACCAATGTTGCTTCTGAAGTTCTGGTTTGGTTTCTGGACTGTCTAATGATGTTTTGTTAACCGGGAGAACAGGAGATTTCTGCTGGGCTTTGACTTGGGATGTGGAGCCTCTAGGAGTGGTGCCATCAAGGAATTCTGAATATAACTTAAGGGGTTTTATCTGGTTGTGTGCATTATATTGACTGAAGATATCAACATCAGTGTGTCTTCCCATACAGCTAGAGTCTGGCACCAGAATTTTGGGCAAGAATTATTTTTCATCTAAAGTAGATTTCCTGTGCTTGGTGTATCCTGTCTGCCCCCTGTTGGAGCACAGCTGCTCTACAAGGAGGTTTATGTCTGGACTTACACTGAAGACTCCACACTGTGCCTCTTGCACAGTAATATGTGGCTGTGTCTTCTGTAGTCACAGAGTTCAACTGCAGGAAGAACTGGTTCTTGGCTGTGTCTCTAGTGATGGAGATTCGACTTTTGAGAGATGGGTTGTAGCTAATGCTACCACTGAAGCTTATGTATCCCATCCACTCCATTTTATTTCCTGGGAACTGTCGGATCCAGTTCCAGCCATAACCACTGGAGATGGAGTAGCCAGTGACAGAGCAGGTGAGAGACAGTGACTGAGAGGGATTCACCAGGGCAGGTCCTGACTCCTGAAGCTTCACCTGGGACAGAATACCTTCAGACAAGAAGAGTCAATTCTGTTAATCACACATTTAAAAAACCCATCATTGAGACATGTATGAAATGACAACACTCACCAGGAAGGGCTGTCAACAGGTACACAAGACTCAAAACTCTCATCTTTTGTGCTACACTCCCTTTTCTTCAGAGATCAGCCACCAATGAGATATATGTGAGCTGTCACATCCCAGGAGTGAATTTAACTTAGAGCGAGAAGATGAATTTGCATGTGGGAGACAGCCTCGCCTTCATAATTGGGGAAGGTAGATACTGAATGCACTTGTTTATTAATGTAAGACAATCCCAGTCTCTGGCTTCCTATTGTGTGAGTCTGGAATAAGAGAGCATGAGGACTGCAGATACCACAGGAAACCTATCTATATATGATCCCACTATCATTTCCTACACCAATTTCCCCATAGACCCTCTTCTGCTCCTATGATATGTATGGTCTCCAGTCAGTGCCAAACTTCCTTTCACATTTGGATTACTGCTTTCTTATTAGTAAGTCTACACTGTTCTTGGTTTTCTTGTCTTTCCTCCCTAGAATATATGTTTCCAAATCCCCAAAACTCAGTATCCTGTCTTATTGTAGTTGTACAATTGAGCTGGTAACTTTCCAGTAGTGAGTCCTTAGTTGTATGTACAGGAATGTTGTAGGTAAGTCACATTACATTTGTAGTTTTACCTTTGGGGAGAACTTCCAGATAACATTCCATAGGAACTGCACAGGTTAATCCAACTGTCAGGTGCCATAATGGGACAAATTAATAAAAGCAGGTGATCATCCTGAAATGGCCTACTTTGAATAATTATATAATCTGCGACAGGTGTTTCCTTATTCAGCAAGACTGTAAGGGATTCATTTTAGGAAAGAACCCTGCTATTAATACGCTTTTCCTGTTATTATTAAACATATGTAACAATCACTATGTAATAGCACACCCCTTTGGAGCAGATCTTTGCAGAATCATGAAGCTGTAAAGTCTTGCAGTGATACTATATAGACAAATAGATGACTTCTTAAGTCTTAATGATGATCCTATAAAGATTGCTAAAATTATATCAGTGATTATTAAGCTCTTTTAATGGTACTGCTAACTAGGTCCCTTTCTTATAGTCAAAACTATAATGAGAACTCTGCCAGAATCCCAAGTGTCACCAGTTAATTGCTCTGAGATAGTTACCAGACTTCTGCCTACTCAGAGCACATTCCAAGAGGCTGTAAAACAATTAACCAAAGGTCATAAAAAGTAAACTAACAATTTATTATATGTGCTAGGACAGAAGGAAAATATTGACTGGGTTTGTCTATACAAAACTTCACTAATAACTTGGTTATGATTTTAAACCTTCGGGAAACCTGTGGAGCTGAGACAGGTGATGGATGTTTAGTCAGATAATTACTCCTAATGGATATGCATGTAAACGTTCTCTGTTGTAAATTTCTATTTCAATTTGTGATTTGATTTTTGGTGTGAACTTGTGATGAACTTTGGAACATGTGATCTTCAATTCTGAAAGATGTTTAAATACTGAGATCAAAGAGATGAAGGGTATAGAATAGAATTTTTTGCCTTTCCCCACTTAAAGTAGAAGATAGAATAGAATTTTTCCTTTTCCTCAGACAGAATAGAATTTTTCCCTTACAGAAAAAGAGTTTGTTCTTTATGAATTACCTTTTAAAATAACAACTAGGAAAACCTATCTATGGGTTTACTCTATGTTGAGTACTCTTTGCTCAGTACTAATCACTGAATGGGAAGACCTGGCTGGAATCCAGGGCTGAGCTCCTCTGCCACAACAAGGCTCAGCACTGGGCTGGTTTTCATTAATAGTCAAAGTCCCTCTTTGTATCTCCTCTTGCTATATATCACCTCTGGAGGTAGAACTCTGTGAGAAGACAGTGCTCAGAGAAAATACAAGAGACAGTTTTTTTTTTCATTTAAAATAGTATGTCAAGTATATGTAGATATATGCTTTTAAATAAATGAAATTTAAATAGCATTACACACAGGCATAATTCCAGGGTAGGATTTGATCTGTTGTTTTAGGCCCAGTGTATGCATTTGTGCTTCTCCATGCTGTGTATTGCTTCTCTCTGAGACATTACTTGGTCAGAGTCAGACTTCTCTGGTGAAGGTCTAGAATCCCTGTCACTGTGATGGTACAATATTTGATCTTGTTTCAGTTTTCATCATGACAATGTGGATATATTTGAAGGAAATGTGCTTGATATCAGATGACTGGACATATGTAGTCTCGAATGCTAAGTATCCATACACTTGGAATTTTGTTTAGTCATTAACATAGTCACACACATGAACACATATTTTATCCTGAACACATCCACAAGACATGAGGCAATATCTCTGCTACCTTATGTTCCATTGCTCTGATGTGGTACATTGATTCTCTGATATGCTTTTGTTCACTCACATCTTACATCTTTCTTACATCTGCTTTTGAGTCAGTGTTATCTAGCTGTTTTAGTCATTTATGCAATGTTGAATTTATACCCTGGACTAATATACATTTTCTTGGTGAAAGAATACAATGCATATCCACCAACACACATATAAAATTTTATTTTATATCCTATGGCTATCTGCCTTCTGACTGCCAACCACCAATGCAGAGAACCAGATAGATGATGGATTTGTGACATTGGATGCCTTCATGGTTACAAATAACTGCTAGTGCTTTGGAAGCTCTATGAAAAGTCTCTGAAATTCTGTCAGTCAACTGTATTTGTGTGTGCTTTGTGGCATCAATAGTCACAAACAATGAATATTAGAGACTTAACATAATTTTGTGAAGTTTAATCAATTCAAGAAACTGTGGCTCCATCACCTATGAAACATTGTGTAAAATATTTCTCATGATTCAAACTTTTTCTTGAGTTTTAAAATGTCTATATCACAGATATAACATGCAAAACATTCCAAGGATTAGTAGCCCTCATCTGCATCCCCTGCTGATATGGCAAAATACAAGAAAATGAGTTTGGTTTTAATGAGATACATCCAAACAGACAGATAAAAGCAAGAATAGAATCTGCTATGAGAGAGGGTCTCTAGATGATCCACAGCACTAATTGAAACCATAGACTTTTAAAAAGTCATATTTAGACCACCTCTGCAGCTAGCAATGAAGCCAAATCAAGGGTAATTGATAATGACTGCCCCCTGCTGGTCATCAGTTCTATAAAGGGGAAGTTCTCTGAGATCACACTCTGTCTGAAGAATAGTAATACAGAACTGTGTCTGAGCTTTAAGGTTGTTACAGTGTAAAGAAAAAAGTTGGCTTTTGGAGTTCTGTGCTAATGTGCACTTGAGGTTTCCAATAGTAATTGTAGTTTACACCTCACTCACTCCTGTTTTGTCAAGCCATTACAGACCATTTCATAGCTGACTGACAAATCCAGCTTGTAAGACAGCTAGTTCAAAGAGAAGCCAAAAAAGGGGAGGGACAGTGTCTATGAGTGCTTTAACCGACCAGGTGATGGCACCTTAAGGGACACATGGGAGAACACACCTGAGAACAAAGACCCTCACTATTAATCAGGAACAACAGAAACCACATAGTCAAGTTTCTCTCCTGAAGGCACTCATAGCAGCAAGCAGACATGAAGCACAGAAGCAGCCTCAGGATCCACATACTCTGAAGAAGGCTCCTGTGAGTAGGAGATGACACTTCTTAATCAGGATTGGTCCTTGATCCTTGTAGTGTGGAGTCTTTTGCATGGAAGATGATCCTGAGGAAGAAAGAAGGGATCTGAAAACTTGTTCTCCTTTTCTTTCTTTCCAAATACTATGCCTTTAGAGGAGACATAGAACAAAAGTGCTGTAGTTTGCTCCTGTGCTTACCTGGTCTTCTTAGACACACAAGAATTGTCAACTGCCTGGAGCATCCATCCTGGATTCAGAGTGAGATAAAGGTATCTGTCAACACAAGTCTGAGACCCTTACCAATGCAACAAAGGAAATTAAAATCACGGGATTCATAAAATTATTTCTTTACTCAGATATGGCACTATTGTGATTACTGAAAACGTAATGAATTTTGCAATCGTTAAATACTAAGGATCTTAATTTTATTACATATTTATGAAGTATGGAGAAAATGACATAAAGTGTTTATAATATACATGGAATCACTTAAACAGCTGTCTAGTATACTACGTTTATGCTCACAATGATATACACTCACAGTTCTCTCCTTTTAACTCTGAAGTGTTGTTTCTAAGAGAAACAAATGGACAGAACTGTTGAGAGCCAACTCCTAGGAGAAAGGGGCTATCATCTTTGCAACCACTTTGGTCCATATATTTGAAGGTTGATACTTTTCCACGCTGGAGAATGACTTGAAAGCAGCCTACAACAGCTGAGCACACTCTGATAAACATCTTGTTTTGGTTTTTAGTGTCCTCAGCTGAAAGGCACTCTTGGTAAATTGTCTCCAGCTGCATTCCTCTGCTTGTGCTTATATACCCATGATTTTCTTTCAATAAAGGAGACATGATCAGACACTCTGTCTTGGCTCCATTCTTCTTGTCTCTTGTCCCTCCACCCCCACTCTCTCTCTCTTACAGACCCCATTGACTGACCCGCGGGGGGTGGGGGTGTCACAGAACTATTTGTACATGTAAAAGGTGTTTCATGTAAGCTTCAATGCAAAATAAAAAAAACATTTTTAATAAATCACAAAAGATATAGTATAAATACAAAAGTCATCAAATTATATAGAATGCTGTGTGGAGAAGTAAATAAAATGCATCCAACAGTAATATGGAAACAATGAATCAATTAAACATGCTTTTACTGCTCAATGAACGTATTCAACAAAAATGAGCTAAACAATTGAAAATGCAGAAGGAAACCTTCTTGAGCAGAGGCTATTTCCCTGTGCTTTGGAGAAAAGGAAGAGCCAGAATAACACTTAATAGACTCCTTTTCTAAGATAGAAGCATAACCAGACCATCTTGAAATCAAAAGGATTGATGTTAGAAACTATATAATTGGGAACTTATGAAGAAAAGCTAAGGAATGAGAACAAGGTTCCATGGGCTGCTTCCACAGTCTCTTGTCTTTGATAATTATAAGGAATCCCAGTAACATAGGTAATGCTAAATTGCTGTTAAAATGTCTCATATGTTCAA